GATTGACACACAAAAACTTTATTTATTTATTATTAATTTCTGTGGTAACACTTAATCTACCCTTTTAACAGATTTTTAAGTATATAACATAGCATTGCTAAGTATAGGCTCCATGCCTCACAGGAGATCTCTAGGAATTGTTTATCTTGCAAAGCTGAACCTTTGTTGCCGTGGCCTAAGACCTCCCATTCCCCTGGCAGCCGCCGTCCGACTCTGTGCTTCTGTGAGCTCAACTACTGTAGATTCCTCATATAAGTGGAATCAGGTAGTATTTGTTTTTCTCTGTCTGGCTTATTTCATTTAGGATCGTGCCCTCCTGGTTCATCTGTGCTGTCACAAATAGCAGAATTTCCTCATTTTTTAAGGCTGAATAATATTCTGAAGTGTTCAGAATAAAAAACAAAAACAAAAACCAAAGAAAGAGGCATTAGACTAGTTGGCTTTGGGGGTGCTTTGCCACAAGGGCCTCCTGTGATCCCATGGCAACCACGGGTTCTGTCTCCTCCTGTGTCATCCCGGGGTCAGGAAGGAGAATGGATCTTGCAGGAGACCTGTGTGGTGAGCGCAGCCCCACAGGGACAGATGCTGGCACTGAGTCACATGTCACGGCTTGTAGGATGCTCTCCTCGCCTCTCCCACTTTGGGAGGTGGTCAGGGCAACTGTTATCGCCTAGTTCCTAGGAGATAAAATTGAAACCCGCAGAAACTGAGTGCCTGAGATTGGAGGGCTGAGAGTGGAGCCTGGAGGATCTTCTGCTGGCATGGAGTCTGCCTCTCCACTCTGTCCTTCCGGGCTGGGTCAGGACAGGAGTGGCCAGGTGGCAGCCTGAGGGTCTGGAATCACTGAAACCCATATTCAGATTCTGTGCTGCTTGCTGGTGATTTATTCAGAGACCCTTGGCCCAGGGTTTGGGGCTCGGGTTTGGAGATATCATTCCTCCTCCCTGCAGGAATCCTAGTGTTTGACCAGTGTACCATCCAGCTCGTGAGGGAAGAGACTATTGAGTGCAGCTTCATCAGCTAATTCAGGATTTAAATGAGCTCAAGTGCAGTGCAGGAGGCTGGTGGCTTTGCTGTCAGTGGAGGGTGTTTAGATGAGAGGGAAGGAAGTTTCCCTCCTGGGTTGAATCAGTAGGTTCTGGGTGATGGGAGTGGAGCCCCTGCCTACATGCCAGGAACATCCTAATGCCCGAGGCCAGAGAGGCATCTGGGAACCACAGCTCCATCTGCCAGCTTTCTAAACCAAAGGCTCAGTCTCTGTGCCCAGTTCTCTACATCACCTCAGCATGCGCAGCAATGCAAACCCTGGGGCACGGCAGTTGAATGCAGGCTGAAATTCTGCCTTAGGCCCTCTTGTAGAAGACTCAGGAAGCAGGGCACTATGGGTATCCTGGGGGTGGCAGGAAGGAAGGGCTAGAGGCTGGCGTGGGCACCAGGGTGTGTAGGAGAGACCTGGCCACTGTAGACTGCACAGGCCCTGGGTCACCTGAGCTGCACCTGTGGAGGGCCACTGAGGGGTGTTAGTGTCCTTTGCAGGCAGGTGGCTGTCCTCTGTGTTTATAACTCTAGGAGCTGGTTGCCGGGTGCCTTCTGAAGTAGGCTGGGCTGTTGTAGGCCAGGGAGTTTCTTCCTCATGGTGAACTGTAACCTGTCTCTCTTATGTCTCTCCTCGCTGCTCCTCATTCTCCTATGCAAAGCCAAGGTCTGCCTGAGTTGCTGGCTCCATGCTGGAGCCCCTGGTGAGCCAGGAGGCAGCCTCAGTCCATGGCAGGAGAAAGGAGGGTGGGGGGAGGGCAGGCCCTGGGAGGTGAGGAGGAATAAGGTCTTGAAGGGCGAATGATACAGGTGATGGCATGAGGGATCCATGTCTTTTGGTCTTCCAGTATCATAGGGTGTAAAAATGAAGGGTTATCCTTGGGACTCCTCCACCCCTGTCATTCTATCTGAAGGAACCCTGTTCCTTTCCTTTCACCTTTTGTAATTATATCATTGTTGAATTGTGTAATCCCACCCCTGACTCGCATTTTATGTTCCATGAGCTCAAGAATGATGTTCAATTCCTACTCTATATGTCCAGATGGCCTAATGCCTGAGACAGGAAGTGCTCTGTAAACATTCATTGAATGAATGAATGAATGAATGAATGAATGAATGAATGAATGAATAGATGAATGACTGGACACTTAGCTGGACTCTAGCTTATAGAAAAGGCTGTGTACTGCTCTAAGAACCTTAGACTTCATTCTTTGAGCAGTGCAGCTGGATGAAGGCAGAGAGCCCCTTCTGGAGCTGAGTAGGGGTCCATGTGTGGTGGGGCACTGTCTTCATCATCTTGGGCTCCTATAACAAAAATATCACAGACTGGGTGGCTTAAGCAACACACATTTATTTCTCACAGGTTGGATGCTGGGAAATCCAAGATCAGTGCACTGGCCAATCTGGTGTCTGGTGAGAACCTGCTTCGTGGCTCATAGACAGCTGTGTCCTCACATAGCAGAAGGGGCGAGGGAGTTCTCTGGGGTCTCTGTTATAAGGCACCAATCCCATTCACAGAGGCTCTGCTCTCATGACCTAATCTCCTTCCAAAGGTCCCACCTCCAGATACCATCACAGTGGGGGTTAAGTTTGAACATGTGAATTTCGGGGGGGACACAAACATTCAGGGTGTGATGGAGAGGGGGCACCACACCCAGGGGTGGGAAGGACATAGGACATCTTGTCTCTGTACAGACTGAGAGAGCTGAGAGACACAGCCAGCGGGTGGCCCTGGGATGAAAGCGGAAGAAAGAGACCCGCTCTGGGAAGGCGCACAGCAGCCTCCTTGCTGATCTGCGGCTGGTCCCCCAGAGTCTGAACGGAGGGCTCCCCTACCTGGCATCGTTGTGCTCTCTGGCGGTGGATGGCTGCTGCTCGGTGTTGATTACAGTTTGAAATGCCGGCACTTCAGTCCCGTGCTGCTACACACCACAGACATCCCGTTTCACTGTAATGAGGTTTCAGTTAGAATGTTGGAAAGAAGAAAGCCTTTTAATTAGATTGGCAGTAATTGAGCTCCCAAACCACAGAAGTCTTTTTCTCAGAAGCTGAAATCACAGATGCAATTAAAAGAAGGAAAGCCACCCAAATGGAACACTGGCTAATTTTAAGTCCATTAAAAACAACAACTCCTTAATAAGTTGACGCAACGGATATATGTCCTAAAAGAGTTCAATGATGCTTTCAAATAATATTGGAGATTGAACCGGAACTAGAGTACTTGTGCAGTTCAAATATATGGCTCTATCGGGGACAATTGGCTCAGCACAGAATACCGAGAAATGTTAGCTACATAACTTTTTCCACCAAAAAGACTCTGCCATGGTTTATTTTGAAAAATAGGATGTATTTTTCCTGTAACCAAACTGACAGCTTCTTCTGGATACAGCTGCGACCTGGGACCCTACTAGGATGGTGTTGCCTGTCCCTTCCCAAGCAGCTCTCTCTTTCTTTGGGATTCACATACCTCCCTGCCTGCCAATTTCACCTCTCAAAGTTGCTCAGAATTTGAGCTGCTGAGCCAGGGGCATTGATGCATCAAAGAATCGTTGCCAGCTCCTTACATGATCAGCACATTTTTATTTTAATGAGAAAGAGCATTTATTTCTCATTGGCATCCCAGCTCTCTGACCACGCCCCAGCAGATGCCATGTTCTTTCTGCCATTGGGTCCGTTTTTGTATATGCCATCAGTTAACGGGGCCAGATAATTCCTGTTGGAGGAGCTCACAGTCTCAGCTTCTAGGCACATCTGCCCGGGGGCATTAGTAAATACTTTCTCCTAAAGAGAGTGACACTTGCCAATTTACAGAGTCCTTTAGGTGGGAATTGGGGGCTGAGTTCTGAAAAACTCCATCTCAGCAGAACTGTTGCATGAAACTTGCTCATTTGCTAGGCCATGTTGGGCTTGGCCAGCAGTAATAAGACCCTGCTTGCATATCAGTTGGGAGGATTGATGTTCCCCAGAATTTTCTTTAGATGTCCTGTTCTGGGGCAAAGCTGTCGTTGGTACACTATCCCAAGCTCTGGTTAGAGCACAGACGTGACACCCTGCTGGATCCCATTCTCAGGTGGTTTGGGAATGTGGAGAAAGGGGCTTTGAGTCAGAAAGATCCAAGTTTGAATAGCTCCTTCAGGAGTCATCTTACCTTTCTGAAACTTCGTTTGCTTATTAGGACAGAATTTACCTTTAGGTGTGTGTCAGGGGCCAGACATGCTTCTTGGTAGATAGATGATGAGAGAAAAGAAAGGCAGATCCATAGGGACCAGGCAGAAATGTGACCCACGCAGTGCCATTGGCCTCCAGCGTGGCCGCTGGCAAGGTCATACTCCCTTTCCTGGCGGAGGGAAGCACAAGATACTTACATTTGTTTAAAACTGTATACATTCTGGTAATAAACTTGACTTTAAAAAATTGGAGGGGTGCCTGGGTGGCTCAGTCGTTAAGCATCTGCCTTCGGCTCAGGTCATGATCCCGGGTTCCTGGGATCGAGGCCCGCATTGGCATCGGGCTCCCTGCTCAGTGGGACGCCTGCTTCTCCCTCTCCCACTCCCCCTGCTTGTGTTCCCTCTCTCGCTGTCTTTCTCTCTGTCAAATAAATAAATAAATGAAATCTTTAAAAAAAGTTGGAATTTGTACCCAATTTTATTTTCTTAAGCATAGAAATTATTGTAAAGGGTACAAAGGAAAATAAGCTAAATCATTAGCAGGTGTCATATCTGGATGTGGGGCTGTGGGGTCTTAATTTTCCTCTTTATACTTCTTCATATTTTGTAAGTACTCTATAATAAATGTGCTTACCTCTGGGGAAATTCTGCTTGCGGGTATTTGGAAGCGCTTGGCGCCTCCTAATTTCCGCACACTCCAGCAGTCCCAGTAGCCCGATTCCTGCATGAATAACAGTATCACTCCCTCTTTTGTAAACCATATAAACCATATTTATGGTTCTTTCTTTTTCTTTGAAGGATGAGAAGAACCAAGTTTTAACCACCAACATTTGGCTGCAGATGGTAAGTTGAGACAGTGGCAGTCCTCTGCTGTGGGTCTTCCTGCTCTTCCTTCCCAGAGGCCAGTGCTTGAAATGCAGGGGAAGCAGAGGGCCCCTGAGAAAAGCCAAGGCAGTCCTCCATCACTGCACACGTGCCAATGTAAGTGAAATAGAACATCCGCTTTGGGGTGTTTCTCACTGCATCCTGCAGGACTAGATGCATGCTTGTATTTCACTATAGGGTGATTTGGGGACATTTTAAAAGCACTTCATGCAAGACAAATAATAAGATTAACATCTGCATTGTCTGTAACCTGCACTAACTGGTCCCCAGGGCTCAGGGGCACCTGGCTCCCTCCCCATGCCCCTGGGTGCACATATTGGAATCCTAGAGAGTTGCCTAAGCCAGAGGCCTCCACACTTAGTGCTCCAGTGGCCCCTGCAAAAGTTTTGAAATGCTATATTCCATTCATGGATTTTTAACTTGACATCTAAAATTCTCACCTAAATTTAATGAATTGCAAATGATGTCTCTTCCAGCAAATTGTAAATATTGACATTAGAAGTAAAACTGTTAGTCTCTATTTTTTTTTGTTTCCTTTACTATATATATATTTTTTATTCTTATGTTAATCCCCATACATTACATCATTAGTTTTAGATGAAGTGTTCCATGATTCATTGTTTGTGCATAACACCCAGTGCTCCATGCAGAATGTGCCCTCCTCAATACCCACCACCAGGCTAACCCATTCTCCCACCCCCTTCCCCCTGTTAGTCTCTATTTTAAGTGGAATCTAAATGAATGCCATAATAATTTGATGTCCATATCATTCACTTAAGAAATATATAAACAAAGCCTTCCTTAACTGCCAGATATTTCACACAGTCCCTGTCTTCTTTGTACCAGCATCGCGATTCCAATTTTCACACAGAATTTTATCCTAACGTAGTATAATTTTGTGTTTGCAGGTCTTTTATTAATCACTCTGTCTTGGTTCTCTTAAATATAAATATTTACGTAAAAATTATTCCTTTAGACAATAAGTGTTAATTTTTTTTCTCCTAGATTGATTTAGGTTTACAATGATTATTGGTACGTAATTCATCAAGGTGACATTCGTCTCTCTACCAAAGATGAGGCTTTGTTTTAAATTAATTCATGTATTCATAGATGACTATTTTTTTATTATCAGAAATGAGACACTGATGTAGATTTCACCATCAGTTCTATGATTTTTTAAAATAGATGTAGTAATGTGTCATTCATAATGAAAGATATTTTGTTACAGCAGTGTTAATCAATTCCTTGAACTTCTTCCAGATGACATGGCAAAGATAATATAGTTTTATCAGGATGTATCAGCTGACAGCTTGATTACTTTCTCATTCAATTTTGTTGAAAGCAAGGAATTAAAGAAATTAAAATCCACCTGATCTTTGAAAGTTTTTGTCACCCAAGTTTTAACACATAGACACTGGTATTTTGAATTGACCCTTTGTTTGCTTCTTGGGCAAGTGTCCCAAGATAGGAGTTGAGGTAAGGGAAATACGCCTTTCTTTGTAAGGCAGAAATGAGAGAAGTAAATATAGGGAAAGGGGTACTCCCAGGGGTTTCTTGGGCGGTGAGTTTTAATGGGAATGCATGTGGAAGTTGAGGGAAAGAAAACAGATTCACATAAAGCCATCTGCTATGTGTCCCGCGAGTATGCTTCGCTATACATGAGATCCCTCGCAGAACCTTTGAGAGATTTCCCTGCAGTATTTAAAGCAACATTCTTTAGTGAGCACATTCTACCCTCAAAGCCTGTGCACATCTGCTGTAGCTTCCCTCCTTTGTCATGGGCACAGGGTCAGTGCTACCCTTAGAGAAGGGCCCTCCCTCTTGGGAGGAGGTTTCCCCTCCTGGTACCTGCTGAGAACCTTGCTTTCACAGTCATCCCTGTTGACTCTAACATCATAATAGTGTCTGCAGGTTGTTCTCATTAGCATACAGACAAACCTCAGTTTGTCCCCATTAACCCTCCCCAGTGACTCTGGTTTCCTCCTCACCTTTACAGCAATGTTTCTCCAATTGGTGCCTCCCCAGACCCAGACTGCCCCCAGTCTCTTCCCACGCATTCTCAGTTAAACTCACCTTGCCTGGCTTGGGGTGAGCAAACCACTAGCCCCCAGGTTGCTGAATGCTTTACTATGAATAACAATTTTCCCCAGTTTCTTTTCAAACATACCGAAGAGTTGAATTTACGGTGAGTCTATATCTTCACCTCTTAGATTCGTAATTAGCGTTTTATAATTCTCACTTTCTCCCATATTTGGCTAGCTATCCATCTTTCTATAGATCTAGCTTCTTTTTAAGTTCAATTCAAAGTAGAATAGTGGACAGTGGTCACTTTCACCCATGTGTCTTGCAGCGATTTGACTAGGGTGTCTTTCAAGGTAAAGATTTTAGGTACAATGCAATGCACAGATCCTAAGTGCATTGGTCAGTGAATTGCCAGGCATGCTTTCAGCTCCTCAGTCCCACTCCCCTCAGGAAGCAGAAATTTGCCATCACCCCAGGTGATATCTTGTGTCCCTTACCTGCCAACACCTGCCCTAGCCCCCTACTCCCCACCAGGAGTAGAACACCATTGTTTTGCTTTTTCTAGGGATTGATTCCCCCCCCCCACCCTTATCTTACTGGGTCTCTCAGGAGCATTTGGTAGAGTTGATTGGTCCCTCTTCCTGAAAACCTTCTTCATTTAGTGTCTGGATACCTCTCCTTAGGTTTTTCTCCTAACTCACTCGTGGCTTCTGAGTTCCCTCTGCTGCCTCTTCATGTCTGTCCAGCCATTCCTTGTTTCAGGAGTTGGAGGACCCAGTATCCTGGTTTAAGGCACCATTCAGGAGCTAACAGCACCAACCCAACTTCCTCCCTGGTGTCCCCATGCAGGAACCCAGCAGACTCTTAACCCCAGTGTGTTCCAGACCCCCCTTTCTTTCCCTTTCACACTTGCCCCCTCCACAGTGATGAGAAGGAAAAATTCTCTACCCTTTAAGGTCTTCTAGTTGGACTAAGATTGAATTTACATGAGACAGATTTTTTTTTAAAGATTTTATTTATTTATGTGACAGAGAGAGACACAACAAGAGAGGGAACATAAGCAGGGGGAGTGGGAGAGGGAGAAGCAGGCTTCCCGCTGAGCAGGGAGCTGGATGCGGGACTCGATCCCAGGACCCTGGGATCACGACCTGAGCTGAAGGTAGACGCTTAACTGACTGAGCCACCCAGGCGCCCCTACGTGAGACAGATTAACAGGAGGAAACAAACAAAGTTTTATTACATGCACACGGAGGCCCAATAATTATATTGAGACCTACAGAAATGACCAAGGCGGATAGTTTTTAAGCTTTCTCAGAAAAAGAGACACTAAATCTGTGAGGAATTGACAGGACAAAAGCCCTTAACTTTGGGAGCTTTAATTAGTAAGGAATTCTGAGAGGAATTTGGACTGTGCTGGAAAATTAGTAAAAAGTAACAAGGGTTGTTTCTACAGCCTTCTTGGCTCTGAATTTCCTATCTCTGGTGATAAGGATGTCTCTTTAGCTCCTGATACAGGGAGGGTATCTTTCATGGGAGAAATTTATTTCCTGCTTTCAGGGGGACAGAGGAGGGTCCGAGGGTCCTTCTTGCACAGGCCCTTTTAAGTATTTTATTTAAAATAATCAGTATGATGGGCATTAAGGAGGGCATGTGTTGTGATGAGCACTGGGTGTTATACACAACTAATGAAACATTGAACACTACATCAAAAACTAATGATGTACTGTATGTTGGGTAATTGAATGTAAATTAATAAAATAAAATAAAATAAAATAAAATAAAATAAAATAAAATAAAATAAAAATCAGTATGACAAAGTGGAACATTTTGGGTAGCCTGACCTTGGCCCCTACAGTAGCTGTCTCCATTTGGAATAAATGGTAGCTCCATGTCTTCATTTGCTCAGATCAGGGATGAGGCTGAACTCTTATCTTTCACACCCCCGTCTGATCTGGCAGTTCGACCTTCAAAACAGATTCGGGCTCTAACCACTGCATGTCAACACCATTGCTTCCACCCTGGTCTAAACCAGCATCATCTCTCACCTATGTTATTGTGGAGATTCCTAGCCCAACTTTATGTTTCAGCCCTTACCTCCCCTAGTGATTTCTGTTCTCAATATACCAGTCAGTATGATCCCAAAAAGAGAAGATGAACGTTCAGCCACAAGCCTCATTGGCTCTGGTCCTCCAGGGGCTCCTGTCTCACCCAGTGGCAAGCTGAAGTCCTTGATGTGGTCTCTGACTCTTTCTGCCTGGCCCTTGCATCTGCCACATCCCCTCCAGCCCTCTTCTTCTTGCTGTGCTCCCTGCCCTGCTTGATGTCCTCACACATCACCCAAGCACACACCCACCTCAGGGCCTTTGCACTTGCTCCCCCTGCCTGGAAGGCTCTTTCCCCAAGAACCACTTGCCTTTATCCCTTGCTTCTTACTAGTCTCTTCCTGAAGATCACCTTTTCAGTGAGGTCTTCTCTGAGTCCCTGGGTACTGTCTCAAACCCTCCCCTACTACCCCAGCCCATGCCATTCTCCTTACCTGGTGTCTTTGTTTGGGGCTGCTATAACAAAATACCATAAACTGGGTGGATTATCCACAGCAGATATTTATTTATCACAGTTCTGAAGGCTGGAAGTCCAAGATCATGATGCCACCATGGTTGGGCCTTCTTTTGAGTTGCCTTTGTGTTGTGTTCTCACACGGTGGAGAAAGATTGAGCTAGCCATTGGCCTCTTTGTATAAGGGCACTAATCTCATTTGGGAGATCTCCTTCCACATGATCTAACCACCTGGTAAAGACCCTCCTCTGGCGTTCCTCACATTGGAATTAGGGTTCAACGTAGCAATTTGAGGGAACACAAGCATGTATCCATAAGTTCACTTCATTTTGTTTCTGAAGCTCTTGTCCTATCCTTTGTTTACTTGTTCTCAGGCTCTG